GCTCTCCAAGAGGGACGAGGGCGGCAGCCCCAACCTCGCCCTCAACACCTACCCGTCCTACCTCTCGCAGCTGGACTCCTGGGGCGACCCCAAAGCCGCCTACCGCCTGGAACAACCTGTTGGCAGGCCACTGTCCTCCTGCTCCTACCCACCTAGTGTCAAGGAGGAGAATGTCTGCTGCATGTACAGTGCAGAGAAGCGGGCGAAAAGTGGCCCCGAGGCAGCTCTCTACTCCCACCCCGTGCCGGAGTCCTGCCTAGGGGAGCACGAGGTGCCGGTGCCCAGCTACTACCGCGCCAGCCCGAGCTACTCTGCGCTGGACAAGACGCCCCACTGTGCCGGGACCAACGACTTCGAAGCCCCCTTTGAGCAGCGGGCCAGTCTCAACCCGCGCACCGAACATCTGGAATCGCCTCAGCTCGGGGGCAAAGTGAGTTTCCCTGAGACCCCCAAGTCCGACAGCCAGACCCCCAGCCCCAATGAGATCAAGACCGAACAGAGCCTGACGGGCCCAAAAGGCAGCCCCTTGGAGGGCGAAAAGGAGCGGGGCAAGACCGCGGACTCCAGCCCAGACACCTCCGATAACGAAGCGAAAGGTAAGGCCTCCTGGGCCGCGGCCCGGCTGGGACGCTTGAGCTCTTGGTTTCGAGGCTGGGACGAAGGACCGGGGAGGGTTAGGCTGAGGAGGCCCGGGACAGCCTCGGGAATACGACCCTGGCTTGCGACTCGTGTCTTCTGAGCTTCAAGCTGGTGGCGCGTCATTTAGCTGGGAAGGTAAGCGGCGACGTGGTGGTGCCGGTCGACCGGGCCCTGGGTGCTGAGGCGGGGGCGGTGCGCACCGCGGGCAGCCTGCAGGCGCCGTGTGCTGCCCAGGGCCGGTGACCGCTCGCGGGCGCGTGCTAGCTTTGGTTTGCGCTCTCAACGCTGGTGTCCTGAGGGCTTATGTCCCCCGCTTAGGTCAGAGGCTTGCAAAAAAGCTTAAAATGGCGATCTTGGGCCGAGGGGTAGGGAACGCTTGGAAGATGGGGGAATTTCTCTCTACTGCGTTTTCCCAGTTGAAATTGTTTCCTGCAAAACGTGATTTGTTGTTTGTGGGTCTGATTTGTGCGTGCGGTCTGGGCTCCTGCGGTTTTCGGCTCGGCCGGGGGCCTTGGGCAGCAGGGCTGAGGCCGGAAGAGGTGGAGGTGAAGGACTGTGAGCCACATCCCTCCCGCCACCAGATGCCTGGCTTGGGGATGGCGTTGGAACAGGGCATTTGGAATGTTGTGAGGTTATTTGTTTTTTTGGTCTCCTCTTTTCAATTTTTTTTCGTTTTTTTCCCCCCTAGTTAAATTACATTTTTTTCCCAATGGTTTCCAAAAGCAGCTTACAAATGAGTGGTTGGGAAATTTCTGTGTGCGTGGCAAGCGGTTTCTTTCCTGAATGGGAGTGTGGCTTTGCTTGAATTTCATTGTAATTTTTGTTGGAGAGAGAAAGCCTAGCCAGAGTTCAAGCTCAGGGTTCAAGATTCATTTCTGCTGTAGGAACTAGGGGTCTTCAGGATCTTCCTCTGACACCTGGTGAAAGAATGTGGTGGAAACTGGATCAGGCGAATGAGGCTGAGGGGAACGACTTTCCCTGAAAAGTTGGAGCAAAAAACATCAGAAAAGGCCCAATGGAGAGGGATAAACCTGTCCCCCAAGGTGCTGGCTCCTGGCGGCAATATATAATAGAGGCTCATGGGTGAAGAGACAAATGAGATATTAAGAGTAAAACAGGCTGGAGGCGGCCTGGATCTTGTGCTTTGTATATGGATGCGACGCACACGCATGCCTGACTGCGACCTGTGTCACACTCACACACACCCCTCTCACATGCTCCTCGCACACTCACGCATGCCCACTCACACATACACGCTCACTCTTTTGGCGGGCAAGAGTGGAGCCTCATCCTCTTGGGTCTGCTCTGTAAAGGTTGCCTTGGAAAACCAGCCCAGCCTGTAGACACACTGTCTAGAAGATAAGCACGGGTGTGTTCATGAGGGTGAGGACAAGAGTGAGGTGCCCACACCCATGAAGCCTTCCCTGTGGCACATGTGCACTGTGGAGGTTTGATTTTATACTCTCCCCACAAACCCAGAGCTTGGTTGAGGTGCAGCTTTAGGGTAGGAAAGGCTCCATTCTAGCCCCATCAAAAGCAAAGTCAAGGTTATTAAGTCCTCCTAAGCTGATCTGCACCAATTCTGGTAAGACTCCCCTTTCTCTCTTGCTGTCCCCACTACAACCTCAGCTCTCTCACCCCAACTAATCTCTCTAAGCCTGCACTTTGACTATGCCCTTCTTGCTGCCCCTCTTCCATTTTGGTGTCTCCTCCAGGGAAGCAAGAGAATTTTTGGTTAAATGCCAAACATAATTTTTTGCCTCCCCCCCCAAACCCTAATAATAAAAGATAGAGGCCAGGGTTAAATATGGAGAACTTCTAAACTACTTGGGAGGAAGCTGCAGGTGCAGGACATAATAATTAAGAACATTCAGGATTTTTTAGACTGCAGCCTGGAGTTTGCATTTTTTTGTGGGGGTTTCCTGGTTCTCCTAAGGTTCCTGCCCCACCTCCAATCAAGATAAGATCCAAGAAAGTGGCAGCTTCATTGGGCATAGGCCGGACAGAGATGGCATAGGGAGCACAGAGCCATTAATAGAGTCCTTTGCTGGATGTTCCTCTGAGGTCTCTAGACTCTGATTTTACTTAAAAAAAAAAAAAAAAAAAAAAAAAAAAAGGGACAAAACCCCTTTTTTCGCTTGGGG